TTATAAAAAGAAAAACCGAGTGTTAAAATTTATCATGGCGATTTCTGCTAGCAGACTGCTAGCAGACGCTTTCCACACGCGGCCAATGGGAATGTTGTAATAATATATTTGCACGAAGTTGGACAAACAGTTAAAGATGAACTCTATTAAAATCCCAATCACAGTTCTTTTCAGAAACTCATACAACAATGGTTCAGTGGCGATGTTAAAGTTTTGTAGCTGTTAAGAGATGAAGTAGGTTTGACTTAAAACAAGAGTATTGTATTCAAAAAGCATGTCTTGAATTTCAAGGTCAGCTCTTAACCGTCTTACATGAGCTGTGTTACATGGTAAGACTTGTAGTCCTTGAATACAACGTAAATTGTTCAAAGCTGAAATCATTCGTTTCCACAATTTGAAAAGAATTTTTTTGTGGCCCTTTTAAAAAAATTTAAATCTGATAACAAATTTGAAAGGCCAATAAAAAGCCAATGTTTTTAAAGTTTGTCTCCATTGTTCGGTAAACAAATATAACGCCACCTCGGATAATGTACACCAGGATAAAACTGCGACCGGGATGAACGACCTCTGAACTTCTTCTCAACGCCATATGCCTGAGCAATGACCTAGAACCCAATCTACTGACTCCAACAATATTGTAGTAGTCGCAAATATCAGTTGTATTTACAGGTGAGGCAAGCCGCCATCTTGAAAGTTAGTAAAACCGATGATATTTACGACTAATATCTGTTTCTGCTGAGTTAATATAGAGTTGCAAAGTTGATAGTCTAGGTTTAATTATTTAAATGTTTGATAGTATGGGTTTTTTAAACTTTGTTTTAACTCACTTTTCATCTTGCGTTTTTCTTTTTGCCACCTTTCAAGATTGCGTCCTTGCCTCAACTTGACTCGGTAGTTACAAATCTAGAAGACTGGGTTCTAAAATCATTGGGCCAAAATGTCGCTCATTATTGCAGTTACGGTGATCTGCTTTCATAAGGATGTCCTAACTCACGTTATCCCTGTTTTAAATTTCACCTACTCGTTTGGAAACGACGTTATCCTTTCATGTCTTATAATTTATTCATTACAAATAGAAGTAGATTATTTAGTTTTCATTAAAGTGGGCATGGAGCCTGATGAGAAGGTTGGAAAAACGTATAAAAATTACGTTTGGAAAGAGGTGTTGGTGGTTTAGCCTGGAATTTAAGAAAAGACGAAAGACAACTAGAACAACAAACATATCAAAGACGATATCAAAAACAAAAAAAATATCAACCAACAAGGCAGACAGTCCTCATTCATGCTGTCACTAATAAAGAACAAAGAGATGCAATTTGTCCAGCCTGTAATAAATTGCAGAGCATAGAGCAATACAATAATTAACAATAGCTCCAGAAATGGAAACAGTCGCACCAAAAATGAAATATGCCAGTGTTAAAACGTGTAGGATGGCAAAAGCAAAAAGCATTAGGAAATACAAAGACTGGCAAATATTTCATCATAAGAACGAGTAGTATAGTACATGGGGGTTCTAGCGCACGAAAAGTGCGCTATAATCCCCCATGTACTATACTACGTATGACCTTGGGTAAAAACCGTCTTTAATAATCAAGTGTTAACAGGACCCTGTCAGGGCGCGTGTCTTAGTGCATGTTTTTCAACAATGGATGTTTAATGTAATAGCACATTTCATCAGCGCATGTATAATAATACAATGTTTTACAAAATATGGAATCTATATGTTTTTGAAATATATAGGTGCGTTTAAATTTTACAAACGGTCTTTACAAACAAATGTTAAGAAAGCATTGGTTTTGAGGGGGCTCGGCAGCGCAGATCACGAAGTGATCGAGCAGGGGATGGAGCCCCGATAATTCTAGGCGACGTTGGGAAAATTTTTCACGAAGTGAAAAATTGGGGTCGCCTCCCATGGATTCGAAGAATATTCGAAGAATATTCGAGAATAACAGAGGCTTAAGAAATGCTCTTCAAAAAACCGTCTTTAATAATCAAATGTTAAGAAAGCATTGGTTTTGAGGGGGCTCGGCAGCGCAGAGCACAAAGTGCTCGAGCAGGGGATGGAGCCCCCGATAATTCTTAGGCGACGTTGGGAAAATTTTTCACGAAGTGAAAATTGGGTCTCCATGAATTCGAAGAATATTCGAAGAATATTCGAGAATAACAGAGGCTTAAGAAATGCTCTTCAAAAAACCGTCTTTAATAATCAAATGTTAAGAAAGCATTGGTTTTGAGGGGGCTCGGCAGCGCAGAGCACAAAGTGCTCGAGCAGGGGATGGAGCCCCCGATAATTCTTAGGCGACGTTGGGAAAATTTTTCACGAAGTGAAAAATTGGGGTCGCCTCCCATGGATTCGAAGAATATTCGAAGAATATTCGAGAATAACAGAGGCTTAAGAAATGCTCTTCAAAAAACCGTCTTTAATAATCAAGTGTTAATAATCAAGTGTTATTAAAATATCAGTAGCAGCGCGCGTGTCTTAGTGCATGTTTTTAACAATGGTTGTTTAATGTAATAGCACATTTCATCAGCGCATGTATAATAATACAATGTTGTACAAAATATGGAATCTATATGTTTTTTTAATTTGTCTGTCAAGCGAGTGTCATATAATTTTTGTTAAAAGTGTTTTTAATAATTGTTTCAGGATTTTGAATTCTTTTGTATATCGCTTTTGTATTAATTACTTATTACAAACAGTTATTCTTCACCTTCATCTTTAGGCTTAGCTTGATAGTTATCTTTAATAAATTTTTTTAATTTTTCGATTTCATCATTTACAGATTTTTTAGTTGCTAGAATATTATCTTCTATAGTAGCCGCAAAATTTGATGAATAACCATTATATAACATAGACAATGTAGATGTATGTTGTGAATAAACTTGTATTTTGGATAATCCATTAAATGCTTAGCCATTTTCTTTTCCATTCATTATAATTAATTGAAGCTGTAGATTTTTTGGTTCAATAATAATAGAAATATTGTTTAAATCATCATCAACACAGTATACGTAATATAAATCTAGTAATGCATTAGCTATCTTTTTTCATTATCATTTGTTATTTTAATGATAAATTTTTTTTAATCTTATCTACCATAATATCTAATTGAATTGTTTTAGATTTATCAGATGGATTTATTAATAAAAGTGTAAATTCAATAAATTTAATATTATTAAAAGAATATTTATAATATCTTGTATGCTACTAACATTTGAGTTGTAATTTAATTGATTACTATGGTATACTAATTTACTTTTTACTATATCATCTATTTCAGTCTTAGTATAATAGTTAGTTAAATTAGAAGTCAAAGCATACTTACCATCAGCTTGTGTTTTAGTATAGTAGTCATTAAATTTACCATCAGCTTGTGTTTTAGTATAATAGTTATTTAAATTAGAAGTCAAAGCATACTTACCATCAGCTTGTGTTTTAGTATAGTAGTCATTAAATTTACCATCAGCTTGTGTTTTAGTATAATATTGATTTAAATTAGAAGTCAAAGCATACTTACCATCAGATTGTGTTTTAGTATAGTAGTTATTAAATTTACCATCAGCTTGTGATTTAGTATAATAGTGGTCATTAAATTTATTATCAACTTGAGTTTTATTATAATAGTTAGTTAAATTAGAATTTAAAGCATACTTACCATCTGTTTCAATCTTTGTATAATATTTATTTAAATTAGAACTTAAAGCATACTTACCATTTGTTTCATTCTTTGTATAATAGTTGGCTAATCTTGAAACAAAAACATATTTATTATCAGCTTGTATTTTAGTATAATATTTTAGTAAATTAGAAATCAAAGCATACTTACCATCAGCTTGTGTTTTAGTATAGTAGTCATTAAATTTACCATCAGCTTGAGTTTTAGTATAATAATTATCTGATAGATGTGTTTTATCTACAGATCCTTGTATATTTACATTAATATCTGTTTTATCATGCCCATAAAATAAGCTCATTTATATTATTCCTCAGATTTTATATCCGGTTTATTATTTTTATGTTCGTAAACATGTTTAACTTGTTATAATACCAGATAAAACCCTAAAAAGGTAATATTGGTGATATTTTTCTACTAAACTGTACACATCTCGTTTTAAAAGGTCGTCTGATTTAAGCTGTTTTGTTAATTCTTTGGGATCTTCAATAGCATCAAACCCTTTTAATATATCTGAAAATTTTGATATAACTAAATCAGTTAAAAACTCATTAGCTTTTTGTAATCGTTTTTTCTCGTATTCAGTGTATAATTTATCAATAATTTTTTGACTAGCTTTTTTAATGTAAGCAACTGACTTGTCTAAATCACCATCTTCAGCTAGTTTAAGTAGTTGATCTCTTTTATTAAAACTTTCTTGCGGTTTATCTTGTATATTATCATCACATACAGCATCTTTGATAGTATCATTTGCGGAATCAATCTCATTAATTATATCATCAATTGTTTCAGGCTCTTTACGCTTTGGCATATATATTAACACATGTTTTATTGCGGAATAACAATTTTCCATTGGTATGGGTATACAAGTTGAATTTCTAAATGTGCATACTTATTATTTTTCAATTTTTTGGTTATTTCTTCTATATCATCTTTCTCAACACCATAAAGATAATCATCAAATATGGTTTTCATATCATTGCGGTTTGTATTATAAAATGTAACTAAATAACTTATATTTTCACGATATGGTTTAGAAATACTAGTCAATTGCTGTGTAATCACAATAGTAGAAAGCCCATAATGACGAGCACTGAATGATAAACGAACTAATTCAGATGTCCTATTTTTAACATCTAAACAACTCGCACAGTCATCAAGTATAATAAGACTATTTGTACCTTTATATACATCACTAACATATTTTAAAACAATATCTACCTGATCTTGGTCACATTCTACCTTAATTAAATCAGAATCATTTATATATTTCCATTCTTGATAGGTTTTATTATATGATAGCGTTGGACATAATAAAATAATATAATCAAAATGTCTATTAAAGTTTTTTCTAACATTCTTAAAAGAAAAAGGTTTTACCACAATTGTCATACCTAAAATAATCATATTAAAGGGTGTGTTCATTTATATATTACTGGTTATTCTAGTATTGAATACTTTGTAAATCATTATTAACAAATTGAACAAGAGCATCACTAATAACATAGATGTAACAGTTTAAATCTTTTGTATATGCTCTTTTTAATTTCAAGCAAAACACCATTTTGAGTATTAATGATTTTTTACCGTTACCAGCAATATTTTTTCTTGAAAGGTGCGTAGATCGATAACCAGTGCAAATTTATCCTTATAAAATTTTTCATTTGTCATGAAGCAATCTATTGGGATATTTCTATCAAAAAATCTTCTTGCTTCTTCATAAAATATTTTTTTATCCATACCTTCGGCGAAAAGGCAATTTGGTGTTCCTTCAATCGTAATTTTAATTGAATTTATATCTGGATATATAAAACTTTCACTATCACTAACTGAATTTTCTGTGAATAGTAGTACAATGCCTTTCATACTTTTACGAGGCACATTGACGTTAATATTCTGTAATGTACTTGACTTATCCCATTTTTCCTTTTTTAAGAGGGTTACATGCTGGTAACATAGGCTTCTACCTATAGAATATAGATTTGTTACCTCATCTGCAATTTCTTGATTTTCAATAGTTTCATATTCTAGCTGAATATTTTCTAATTCATAATCACCGATACTTTGACCACTTTGAGGAATAAGTACTTGATCACTTGGTGGTAATGTAATTATGTATTGAAAGTTATTATTCATATTGAATGGGCAATAGAGACCATGATCTTTAAGAATAGTATCAATATTAATTTTTTGCCTTGTACTATAAATATCATACATTAATTTATCTGACACTTTTTGAGAATCTCCACTTGTTGAAGCGCTATCATCTTTAGAAATAAGTTTTCTTAAATTTTCGTTAGCTATTCCATATTCAATAAGGCTTTGCCGATCACTTTTAGGCAACCATAGGTCTTTGTATATACTTATAATATTATGTTCACAACAATCGTAAAGAGTCTCTCCTGCTATTTTAATTTGGAGTCTATTTTGTAAAATCTTACTTAGATTATTTAGAAAGTGACTTTTTGTATTACTGATTTTAAGATCAAACGATATATTAACTGAACCAGGAACTAAACAACTATTTGCTTTCAATTTCGGAATATTAACATAGATTTGTTCATTCGGTTTAACACTATTCGGATTAAAGGTTATACTATAAAAAGTACGGGTACCTTTAATTTTTGTCATATTAATTCTTTTAAAATTAGGTAAAAGCTCTTCTTGTAATCTGTTCATATATATATTAAAACATATTTTATTTTCTTCTTTGTTTATACTGGTCATATATTAACAAAACAGCAGCAATAGCTAAAATCCATAGATTAGAAGCTAACCATGCTAAACCTTTTGCTCCCCATGATATAGCCTGAGTGATAATATTCAATAATGGTCCTAACACTGGCCATAATTTTTTAACTATATTTGCTACAGCCTTAGAAAATTTACTAGTAGCTTGAGAACCTTGCAGGATTGCTTTTCTTACAGCAATTACAATGGTTGTAATTATCGATCCAATAGATATAGCTAAAGCGGATAATCCTGGGATATTTTCTTTAACCCATTCTTTAAACCGCTGTAATCTAGTAATGTCTTTTTCTTGTTCCTCTCGTACATTCTCTTTTTCTAATTGCTCTTCTTCTTCTCTAATTATAGTTTCTAATTCTTCGACTTTTTCATACAAATTAGTTAATTCATCAATATTGTTGTCAATACCATTTTCATTTTCATTTTTTTCTATTTCATTTATTCTAACTTGAGTTTTGTTTAGCTCTTCAGTAAAGTGATTTATTTGTGCTTCTATGAATTGTGGGCGTGTTCTTTTATCAATAGTTCCAGAGGGGTCATTACCCTATATGTTCTCTAAGTTCTTGATTAGTTATTTGATTGAAATTTTCTGTATATTGATTATTTAAATCAACCATAGGCATACTCTCTTCAGTTTTATAAATTCATTTTGCAAATTAATAATTCTTTTAATTTCTTTTTAAATTGTTTAACAGCTTCTTTAGCACTTTTTGTTTTATTGTATTGTATTTCCATTACTATTACGTTTTAAAACAATTATACTAGCACCTCGCTTATTTTTTGTATTTAATGGTTTGTAAGTAATATTATTTATATCAGTTTTACCTAAATTTAATCTAAAATTTATACCTTCATCATATGCCATACCTTTTAGTTGATTAAATCTAAACTCTTTTTATAATTTTTGTAATAAAATGTTCAACAGCAAAAGAAACTTCATTTTCAGGTCTATTAATATTTGTATAAACAGGAGTTGAAGTAGGAACATCAGGAAGAGTATTAGTTTTATTTGTCTTTTTCTTATTGTTACACCATCATTATCAGTAATAAATAATGTATCATCATTATCATCAGTAAAAATGTTTCATCAATATTTTCATTATCTTCATTATCATTATTATCTTTCTTCTTATCTTCTAATTCAATATAATCAAAACCTCCTTCTGCCATTATATAGATTACTCTATATTTTGTATTTCACTTTCAGGAATCCAACTGTTATGTTTATTATCATAACCTAACCATTTAACTAAAACCATCTTTTTACCTTTAACCTTCTTACGTTTTAATATCTTTTCAACTCTATAAACATCATCTTTCTTATTCACAACTGATAGTTCCTCTTCATAAAATTTACCAATTATAGGCTCTCCTTCTAAATCTTCTATCTCATATAAATTCGGATCTCCTCTAATAACTTTAGTCACTTTAAACAACTCTTCTGTAAAATTTGCTTCATAGCCTTTCGTAAATATAGATTTATACTTTGATATTCTAACCATATCACCAATTTTAATCTTAGGTAATGGTAAATAAGCAACTTCATGACCGTATAATGTATTCCATACTTCATCTTCATTATTTTTATTAACATCTTTAGGCTTCATCAAGATTGTACTGTGTTTTGTATTGTTATAATTATATACTAAATCATCTAATATATCAATCCATTTATATGTTCCTTTACTGTAAAAATATTTCCACATAGATGTTTTAAGCGTTCTGTTAAATCGTTCGACAATCGCAGCCTTTTATCATTTTTAGTAGAGAAGTACTTAATTTCATGTTTCTCTAATAATGATTTGACACCTACATTATAAAATTCTTTACCATCATCAAATTGAGCTAGTTTCGGGTAATCATTAAATCTATCTTTAAATTGACTTAATAGTTTTGCAACAGCTTTTGTCATATTATTTGTGTCTTTCCTATAAACAGGGATAGCAAATGCATATCTACTTAATATTTCAATAGCTGTTAATATCCAATAATAACCATTGTTTTATACTTATAAGAACCCATATCAACTAAATCCATTTGTATTTGTTCACCAAGATAGTTTACCCTTGTTTGTCTGAATTTATGTCTCCTAATAATAGGTTTATATCTAGTGTATGTATCTTGAGATATTAACCATTCTTTAACCTGTTTTCTACTAAAATCTATACCTTCTTCTAATGCCTTCTGATACAACCGTTCTGCTGATTGATACCCTATTTTAGGATTATAATAAATATCTCTTAAACTTTGTTCAAGTTTAATGTCTTCATCCATTTAACTTAAGCAAGATAACATTCAAGTAAAACACTACCTACATTAACAGGGTTACCATCTTGATCTAATATATTAAATATTAGCTCGTTAAAAGCTCCTTTTATAATTGTAACTTTAGATTCAATATCATTATATTCGTATACAGTGCCAAATAATGACTGAATTGTTATTACTGGTAAATTTAAAGCTATATTACTTTTTTTTCCTTCAGGGTTATAATTATAACTTGAATTTACAATATTAGAAGAAATTTGAATATAGTTTAATCCTCTGTTTATATCCACTTTAGAAACACCATTTTTACATCATTTCTTTTAAAAGTTTTTATAGTATCATTAAAACCTAACATTTTAATAAGAGTATCAGACAATACTAATATTTCATCATTATTATTAGTTATTTTACAAGTTCCGTTGTTTTCTATCATCTCAAGCTTTATGTTAAAGACTCAAGAAATGTTTTAAGCATTTTAAAAGTCCAGTAACCAGCATCTATATTATATTTAATAGGTCCTAATGTAAAAGCTAAAGTATTATTTATTTTAATATTTTTATATTCCCAATACACATAAGCTTTTTGATATATAAATATGAATAGTTAGTTGTTACTATACTTTCTTGTAAGTCAATTTTTTATCTCCGTCTATAAAAACAGTGAACTTCATATATAACATAGCTTATATTATATGTCAGACAAGCAAATAGAAAAAATGCTATAAAATTAGGTGATGATGATTAAAAATGTACAACATGGCCAAAAATATATTTAGAAACAACTAAAACGCCTTTGTTTTCAAATCTAATAGCAGCTGTTAATGGAGATGAAGGTCATTACCAGGACTTTTTCGATCATCAATCCATAGGTGGGATTCAAAGTTTATTGTAAAACCTACATTTCAAAGGCCGGTAAATGTTGATATCTGTAACTTCAGATTGTATGTCACAGAGAATGATTATTTTATGAGTAGTTTACCACCTATAACAGCCACGTGGACAAGTGAAATTAAAAGTAAAAAGAACAGTCGACTGGTATAAGATACAATATTAAAATCATTTAAATTATAAACAAGAAGCATACTACGCTATGATTTGTGGTGCTTATGGCTTCAGTTTCTATCTGGTATCGGGCTTAATCATTTAAATTTTGATAAAAGTAGAATTATACAAAGCCTTGTTAAATATCATTTATATTATCAGATCAAGAAATTTATGAAGCATCCATCGTTATTAGACAAATATGACTTTACGGAATTAAAAAAACATATACCTTATAAAGGTATTTTAAAATTTGATAAAAACAATGATGGGTATTA